TTGTTGTCAACAGTTTGGAAAACGGAATATGTTTTTCCATAGAGTTAGTATAAATGGCTACTGGTGCTGAGATTAGCCCATGAAAACTTTAAATTGAAGAATAGGGTATAGACTCATTTAAAAAAACAGTAGTTTGTTGTTGTTAGGTGCCATCAACTCAATTTAAAAAAAAAAAATCAATACCAGAATAAGAAATAGAAGAAAATAGAATGAGAACTCTTTCGGAAAGTTTGCGTGTAATTTTTTTTTAGAAAAAGCAGATTTAAATGAAGCAAGAGAGAATTTTTAGGAGATTCCTAAGGATACTTTTGGCCATTTTTATGTGTTTTAGATAATTGGTTCTTTACCACATACCTATAAACTTATTTTCCCTTTTCCTTGAAACGAATTTTCACTCTTCTTAAACATAACTGTGATTGAGGTCATTTAGAGTTCACAAATGAAATAAAGAAAGGAGAGCTTTTCCTAAGATTATTAAGCCAAAAATGGAAGCGAGGAGGGAAAGAGATTACATGAGATGGACGTAGGAAGGGAGAAAGAAAAGAAGATGTGAGGGAAAGAGACGGTGGAATTGGGTCAGAGACACTGCACAGCGCAGGACACTGTCTCAGTTTCTTGGGGGACGGGAAGTCTTGGAAGAGGTTTGTTGTTAGTTACCACCCAGCGGGCTCCAACTCGTGGCAACCTTATGTGTGACAGAACGAAACGTCTGGTCCTGTGCCATCGTCGTGATCGTTGGTATGCTCAAGCCCATTGTTGTGGCTGCTGTGTCAATCCATCTCACTGAGGGTTTCCCTCATTGTCACTGACCCTCTGCTTTAGCCAGCATGAGGTCCTTTTCCAGGGATTGGTTTTTCCTGATGACATTAACTAGTTGTTTTATCCCAGGGATAGTTGCAAATTAGGCACTTATGACTTGGCAGTCTTTCCACAAATCTCTTGGAATTGAGTTCTTTTTTAAAGAAACATCAGCCGTATTTTTAAAGTCTTTAGAGACCCAGCAACGCACAGCTTCTTGAATTTGCAGTGTCAGGAACAGTCCTGTTTCTTTTGCTGTTTTAAATTGAGACTAAAGGGGGCAAATCATAGAAAAACTGTGATACCCCAGGAGGGAGCCTTTCATGTGCCTAGCCAGTTTTTGTGTTCACTCCCCTCTTCTTCCCAGTGGGAACACCTGGCTTTTGCATCCCCCTCCACCCCTCATGGGTCCCTCTCCCACTCCCCATTGCTCAGACATAGCAATGATTGTGAGGATGGTGCAGGACTGTGGTGTTTCCTTCTGTTGT